CACTGGAGCATCTCAAGGGCGTATATTCTATCCTATCCTTTATAAGTATGGACGGTACATATTTCATCTTTCCTCCCTCCCCCGCTGACTATGCTGACAGAAGCTCTTACCGCTGTATGCATTTTGCTCGTTGGACGTCTGCTTACGCGGCGAAGACAGCCTTCTATGCCTCCAGGGCCAAAAGGTTGGCCATTAATTGGGAACCTACTGGACCTCCCAACGACTCACGAATGGGAGGTGTTTGCCAAGTGGGGCGAAAAATGGGGTAAGCTTGTACTGTGTTACCTTGTGATCCTTGACCGTTCAATGTTAAGCTTTACCTTCAAGGTGATCTTTTATCCGTACAGGTTTTCGGTACGCTGGTACGGTCAATATATCTCAGATTGCTCTTATCTCTTCTCTAGGTACAACCGTTGTTGTTATCAACTCCTACAAGCGTTGTCAGGAAATGCTCGAGAAGAAAAGCAACATCTACTCTGATAGGCCTTACGTCCCGATGGCGATGGAAGTCGTTGAAATGAAGGTAATTGTGTTACTAGATTTAACGTTTCCGTTCAAATTGCAATACCTATTATGCTTTAAGGATACTATGGGGTTCCTTCCATACAACGATCGTTTCAAATCCTATCGCCGTCTCTTCCACCAAGAGTTAGGGAGGAATTCCGGGGTCCGAGAATTCTTCCCTCAGGAAGAGCATCTAGGCAGACAATTCCTCAGAAGCGTATTGAATAATCCGGATGACCTTTTAGAGCACTGCTTCCAGTACGTCCACATGAAGCCTGCTCAAAATGTAGGAGCATTGATGGCCACCTCAGACACTCTGGCGCTATAATTCTTCGAGTTGCTTATGGCTACGAAGTTGAGGAATTCAACGATCCTTTGGTAAAAGTTGCCAACGCTGCAATGGATCATTATAATCGTGCGACTACTCCGGGATCATTCCTTGTCAACCAATTGCCTATCCTTCTCAAAGTTCCGGATTGGTGCCCCGGCACTGAATGGAAGCGCATTGGACGAGAATGGGCAAAGGATTATTGGGGAATGGTGGACGACCCATTCAACTTCGTGAAAAAACAGCTGGTAAGCTGGAAATTCATCGATCTAAGATCAAACATTTATTCGCGAATCAGTCAGAAGGGATAGCGGAAGATTCTTTTACCGCAAAATGGTTGAAGCAGAAGATTTCGCCGCAGGAAGAACTCGATCTCAAATTTTCCTCCAGTTCGATGTTCGGTGGTATGCCGGCTTACGCTTTGCTTTAACTTTGTGTTCGCGTTCATTAATTCCCTTCTCCATATTTAGGTGGATCTGAAACCGTTTGTCTAAGACCTTGCTCAACGTCGTATATCACTAATTCTAAATTGTTTATAGACTGCAGTCACTGTTTATGTGTTCTTTCTCATGATGGCCATGTTCCCTGAAGTTCAGAAAAGAGCTCAGGCAGAGCTGAACTCGGTTATTGGACAGGACCGGCTCCCCTCGTTCGAAGACAGAGACCGGTTACCTTATTTAGAGGCGATATGCAAAGAAGTCATGAGATATCACGCTGTAGTTCCCAATGGTACTAAGCTTTCACGATAACTGATGGAATTGTCACTGGTTGACGCCACATATACTTTAGGCCTTCCTCACTGCACCGCGCGCGAAGATATACACGATGGAATGTTTATTCCCAAGGGCGCTATCATTTTTGCTAACATTTGGTGAGCAGAGCCTATACCTTTATTCATCGTAATCTTCAGTCTCAAGGCTTACTGATAGGAACATGACACACGATCCAAAAGTTTATAAAAACCCAATGGAATTCAATCCAGACAGGTTTCTCGGAGATTCCCCCGAGCAAGATCCAAAGGACATGGTTTTCGGTTTCGGAAGAAGGTTCGTTCAAGTTCTTCCTGTTCGTACTCCGCCTGAGATATTTTTTTCTCTTCGACACTTCTAGACTCTGTCCGGGTAAGAAACAACCTGCTTTTGCTTTATATACTTGAACTCATATAACCTTCTAGGCCGTCTGCTTGGGGATGCCTCCGTATTTATCACGCTGGCAATGAGTCTAGCCGCATTCAAGATCACTCCGTTAGAAGGCGAAGAACTCTTATCACTGAGGAGCATACATGGTGTTGTAAGGTGCGTTGAATAATTCAATACTTCTGGATTTATTTTACAATGCCTTGATTCAGTCATATCCATCCGTTCAAGTGCAGAATAGTGCCCAGCATGGACGAAGAAAAGTTATCTGCCTTAATCCGTTGTTAGCTTTGTAATAATCTAGCTACGTTCGGACGAAATATTATTTGATACATGCATGAAGATGAACACTTCAGAGTTCGGAATATCTAAAGCATCGATATACAAAGCTTGGATTCGTGGGTATTTCTGTCACGACTCGGAGGTGCTCCTAATCCTCCCTTCTCTACCATTGTCACGACTCAGATCATCCAATTTGGTGCGCTGTCTTCTCTGATAGTAATGCTAATTAATCTTTTATTGATCCCGTGACGATACACTCAACAGCCGTATAACAGCTGATAAGAATGCCATCTCATCGGAAGGCATCAAACAGCCTGGGCTGTATTCTCCCATCAAGCTGTCCGTGTATCTTGGGGTGGCTGTATCAATGCGAACAGGGAGTAAGTGGTTCCGATTCTTCAGGAACTTGCCCTTTCTCGTACCATTGAACTTGAACCACAATCTTCCGCTGTATCGTAGCGGTTTTTACTGCTGTCTTGTAGTAATGAGTTGAGCTGTGTCGTGGAGATAGGTTCATGAGTTCGATAGGCTATATCATGCCATGGACTCTTATATCATACTCATCTTCGCCTGCGCTTCGTGCTTTGGTGACATGTCGAAGACACTTGACGTATCCCTCGACAAGGTCAGTATGTCTTCTTGCTCAATAAATCCACTCTTATCATTTTACAGGCTGCCTTCCTCGGGCTTTGGGTAGCTATCATACATCCTTGTCTCTATCGTCGATCTCACGCATCTTTCCAGCTAGAATCCGTTCTTTACGGTAAGATTCTCCTTCTCTTCGCCTCCGTAGCATGCTCTGAGCAATCCCCGTTTTAAAAAAATTTATAGGATGCCATGCCACCGCCTTCCTATTCTCCCTCTGGCTATTTCGGATCAGTAAATCCGAAACCGTCGGAAAGAAATTTAATCCGGTGCTCACCTTCTTAGTGCTGACAGCCTTGTTCGCGTTATCTACTACACACGTCTCAATCAATCTTGCTCGTGGTGTCATTGCCTTTGTCTCATACCAAGGGGCGCCGAATGGGGCTTCTACTTACTTGAAGCAGCTGTGGGTATCCAGCAATGTCGCTAAGCAAGCGGCGTATGTGACCAATATGTGAGTCTGCTAGGAGATTAATGAGTTCTCTTCACTCACACTGAATCTCTTTTTTCTTACCCTAAAGTCTCATCTCGGATTCATTCGCCGTATGTGACGTTCTGTAGCCTTATTAGGCACTACTAATTTATTTATTTCATGCAGTTGTACCGCTCGTACATTGTGATTTCGAACAAGCTGATACAACAGCAGGTCGATAAACCCCCGAAGCAATACGGATAATACGACATGCAATATGGTATTACGCAATAAAACGTTCTTCCTTCCTTCCTGGTGTGAAGACCTTTCAACGTTGATAATCGCGTTCCCTATCTGTTCACTGTTGGCGTCTGTTGGTAAGTCGGCCTGCCAGTCCACTTATCTGCACTGCATTGAATATTCGACTATGTACTAACCCTTTCATACTTAGTCTGCGGATACAAATCCGTCTACAACGTCAGTCAGCGAATGCCAGGAGAGGATGCGTTTATGCCGGCTGTTCTAAGCTTGCGAACATCGCTACTTGTGCTTTCTTTGGTAACGAATGCTTTGGTTACTTTGATCATAGGTCGGTGGTATTTCCTGCTATTGTTTATTGGGATTTGGTCGCTTAATTGTTTTTATTCTGCTCTCGACAGTGGTGTTTCTTGCATGGAATAGCAGGCAGAATCAGAGCGTCTGCCGCAGGGCTTGCGTATCATCGGTGTACGCCTCTAATGCTTAGTCCAGATTAAAGGCACACAATATACTAACACCAAACCAATTGTACCCTAGGCTTCAATTCGGGATAGTGATTCCTCTCTCGCTGATCACTTTACTCATTCTTTACTCACTCAAAATGAATGCAAATGTACGTACGAATTGCTTTGACATTACCTTAAGGTCGTGGTCCTAACTCGCACACTTCCACTTGGACAGTATATTGTGTTCGATTCAATGACTCAAATCACGGTAGGTCTCTTCACTAAGCCCTAATTAATTCAAAATTCAAACCTTCATTCAGGGTTTTTTCTCAGCGATGGTAGTGATATACAACCAATTAACCAGCATCCTCCCCAACACTACAACGCACTGTATTAAAAAGCACCCAAGCGTCGAAAGCATCAACAAATTCGGATCCGGATCCGGAGTCCATGTTACAGTCCAAAGGGTAGTCGTATCGGATGACTCGAAGGAGGGCGGCACCACGTCGGATTACCGGGACGACCTGGAAATGAATAATTATGACCAGAAAAGGTCGTTTGAAGATGTACCCGTATCGGAAGGATATGGATGGGGGAGCACCACCAAGGGAAAGGCACCTCAAAATGGAGCCTTTGGCGCCTCTGAGTTCGGTGTTGGGGAAATTGAAACGCTGCACTTCGATGCCCCCCCGCCTGCATTTAACGAAAGTCAGCAAGGCTCATCTAGGCTCTTCTCTGCAGGGCCTCCGATTGGATCTGGCGACAAATCTCTGGTCGGAGGGATGATTGTTTAAAGTCCCCCTGCAGAGTCGTAGACTATTTTTTTGGATTCAGATTTGGAGGGTGTTAGGGGTTCTAGCGAAAAAGTGTAGAGAGTAGAGAAAGAAACTATGTACAGTAGGAGAAGACGTTTGTTTATACCCAAGTGCGATTAAAATTTAACTGTGCTATCCATGACTAAAGTCGGAAGCGTTAAGCAGAGCGACTATAGCAGCATGGCGCAGTGGTAGCGCGCGGGCCATATGAGTAGCGATTTTCTTGTTCTTTGCACCCCGAGGTCACTTGATCGAAACAAGTTGCTGCTATGCCATAGATACCTGTATTCTGTTATTTTCCTTTTCTTTCGCGTTAGGCAAAACTTTTTGGCGGTATGTATGCACTCACTTTTAACTTACTGCCATACTGTATACCTACACAGCGAACAGGGGGATAAGGATAACTACGACTCGCATTCAAAATGCAACACCTACACACCATGTATAGACCAATTACACTACATACAACGATGACGTTGCGAATATCATGAAACGAGACGAGGCGAGAGACATGGAAAAAAAGGAAACATTATTGATAGCACAGAAATTGTACTGTATATAGATATCATGAAATGCATGTACTGTACACTTGATTTGACGACTACGAGACATAGAAGAAACGACGGGACTCAACGGGAAAGGAAACAAGAAGTATGAGTATCGCGATGCTACATACATCGATAGGGAAAAGAACAGGTCAAAAAGACAAAGACGAACCGGTACAAAGGGATCGGGTCGAACCCAATCCAATTCACCACCACACCTCACCTCACCTCGAATACTTTCATTCAACCTATGCACATCCTTTGCCAAATACGGCCAACTAAGCGCACTCGAGAGCTCCCGCTTGAGCATCTCCTCCTCCCCAGCAGCCTCCTCCTCGTTTTTCCCCACAACCGCCTGCTCCCTCTCCTCCCCAGCACATTTAATCGTAAGTTCTCTCTCCGCACTCGTAGCACGGTCAGCTACTCGGCGGGCCCTCACCCGTTCCCAGTAGGTGTCGATGAGGGGGAGGGAGAGGTGTTTCATTACGTAGGCGATCTGTGAGCGTGTGCATGAGTATAAGTAGCGCATTAGAATGGAAAACCCTGTACTCACAACAGCAGCACTCCTACTAACCCCAGCTCCACAGACCTGCCCTCCTTCTGCTCTTCGTCGATCTACTGACATATAGGCTCCAATTTGAGGCTTCAGCGTGTCGATCTCATCATCACAGATACCTTGGATGTCGAGGAATTTGATTCGCTCGGCGCATTTGTGAGCGTGGCCGTAGGGTCCCGCGTATTGGTGGGATTGGTGGCCGTAAAGGTAAGAGGGGAGTACTGTCCTTGGTGACCGAGAGTGGGGGTCGTTGGTGGTCGAAGCGACGAAATGAGAATAAGCACCGTGGTGCCCGCGCGCACTCAAATGATCCGGAGGAACCAGTGCACATTCGCCAACAGCGACGACGTGGGTGATGCCTAGTGCTCGGAGCATGTAGATATTTGAGGCATGGGCTCTGGAAGCAAGGGAAAGCGAGGGTGTAAGTACAAATAGAACCCTAAAACAATAAGAAACACGAAACACGTAGCGCAAACTCACAAATTTCCCGAATACAAAAACAACAACACCTTACTCGGAAAATTCCTGTCGAACCTGGTATCGTTAACAGGACTGGTGGTCGCTGAGACCAAAGCCAGCCAAGCCCGGAGAGACTAGGGAGTTAGGGACTGGTGCTGGCTCGGGGATGTCTCGATCCTTTGCTTGGGGTGGGAGTAGTACCAGGGCTAGCACCGGGACTAGGATTAAGATCAGGATTGAAATTGGGACCGGCGCTGGGATTGCTAGTGCTAAGCAGTGTCGCGCTCGAATTCGGAACGAGCCTGAGCAAACGAAACACTTTTGGCTATCGGTCTCGTCTTTCGCCGTTGCTGTGGTGGGGAGGTTGATGGAGGAGTAGGCTTGGGAATTGGAGGTAGCTGTAGATCTATGACGGGATGTCGACGAAGCAGGTGCCAGAGCAGTAGGCGTAAGCGTAGGGCATCTCCGACGATACTGAGACCGATGACCAACATTGGGATTTCCTCTCCGTGTCTGCATTCATCCCAATCGCTTTCAATGACTCTGAGTCTGAGTTAGCCTCGTACAGCTCGTGCTCGCGCGGAAGACTATGAAAAACGATCAATTAGTTTAAACGCAATTATCGAAGAATACGATATATGAGGGACTTACTCGTTGGCCATTGTAGTCTATAAATCCATATCCAAATTCATATACATACCCTTTCAACCCATATCGCGTCATCCCATTCCGAGCGGCGTACCAGGAGCCAACGAAGTGTGCAAGAGCAAGCAAGAAGAGAGATCCTGAATCCGGACCGCATCCTTGACTTTCAATCGCCACCATCTTTATTCTTGACCCCAACCTCGAGCTGAACTAGTGGTCGAGCTAGAGCTTAGATTTAAGCTGAACTGCGGCAGTTATTATTATAATTCGTCTGAAAGGGTTCTACGTTATTCGATTTCAGCAAGGTAATAGATGTCATTGCGTTTTAATGCCATTCCACTCGTCTCGAGAATCTGATGCATGCTAGATCTCTTGTAACGGGGGTTTCATTGTGCAAATTTCCAGGCGCATCTACGTCTAGAGTGTAAAGTAAGAGAGCTTGTGAAGAAGAAGAGGTATGTCGCAGAGTCGTTTGGTTGAGCTATCGGCTGGCCGAATCAGAATAATTGCGATTCCTAATTCCGTCGAATTGGTTGCAAATTCAATTGTTTCATCTAGACAGTCTCCCGGGAATCCCCTTGAGACCACCCACTGGCTTCTTGTCAGCCTGTTCTCTATACTATCACGCTGCGGTCTATCTATGCTACCACGATGGCCCTCTTTCGGCCTGCCATGGATAGAGTATATGTTTGGGCTCCTGTAAACGGATGACCCTTGCTGTGGGTCGTTACTCGTCACTCATTCATTTTCTGAAAACGTATTTACTAATTGCTTGAATCCTATTCTAAACTACCTCTTTCTCGGGTGCCGCTATCGCAACTAGCTCCTTCACCAACTCCGAAACAAAGTCTCTAGGGACGAGAACAGCGTAACAGACCAAGATAGTAGATGCTTCCGCGGCCGACTTTTTCATCCTTGTTCCAGAGCGCCGTCATCGCTACGTACTTTAAACCCTCAATTCGGCTTGCTCTCACAGATCCACCTCTTTCTCGGACACTGCTCACAACACTATTATCCGAGTCTTTCTCTGTGACGGCTGCACCGGGAGGTTTTGAAGGACCAGCCATGGTCCACTAGGCGTTTATCTGTCCCTTGGATCTTGTTTAGGCAGTGTTGGAGAAGGAGGAGGTAGAGACGACTGGCAGCCAACATTGCTCATTGCTCTTTCCGAAAGTTTATTCGTTATTGTCTCCTCCTCTGTGACGCAGTCTCGTATCCTCAAGATGGAGGCGCAGGATTTAACACTCAATACACTCTCGAGCTGATTTGAATGTTGACAGTCCATCTTTCGTGCCGCACAGCCGAAAAGTTGCGTTTTCTGGGAGAGAAGACCAGGAGAGGTTTGAAAAGTCGAAAGTTGAAGGCTCTGGTCCCTCGAATGAATCGCCAGCTCCTATTCCCGCGCGGACGACCGACCTTTCCGCGGCAAAGTTTTTCGCGATATTTACGTTTCGTGGTGTGATTCTCATCCGAATACAGCCTAATACAAGTGATTGTGATCACAAATGTATCTAATTTCAACATGGATTGCTGTGGATGTCATCTAGTAATATCAGTATCAGGGCTCTATTCAATACCTAATATATTATTCCCTTTGAATTTTTTCCCTGGTTTTCCAGAGCAAAATCATGTTCACAAAATCATTGTCAATTGTAAACACTCACACTGCCAATGATTATGCTTCAGTCTGACTGAAGCATTGTGGGAAATAAATAAATTCAGTGTATACCAGAAATATACTATTTCAGAGGAATATAGAAAATAAATATTTCCCAATTGAAGCTTGAACTGTCCGCAAAGGGACGAAATGACATTTTTCAGACAGGACGCAAAGTAATATGCTTCAGCTGACCTGAAATACTGTTGATTGCTCGGTTCCACTGTAATGATTTGGGGTCTCATTACCTATGGGGATGTTGATTCCAAATGGGATGTAGAGCCTACATCCGAGCCCAAAGAATCATGGAATTTACCAATGTAGCCATGAGTTTTGAAAACTCAGTGCTCACGGGTTAAGTTGATGCTCATTTCTTGTGCTTCCGCACAGACATGAGTGACATTGCCCAGCTGTTGGAAAAATCCAACAGATAAGGCGAGATCCGAACTAAACAGTTCTGATGGATCATTCCAATTTGACACTAAATTAGTGTCAGCCTACCATGTAGTATACTCGGGAGTATGCATGTTCAAGTTGTTGATGATGTTTCAAACGTTGTAGTGGTTGTGGATAGATTCCCAAACGCATAGTTTGATGTAGCCATAGCATCAGATCTTTTGAAAATTAAGGTTTTTAATTTCAATTGAACAAAGTTAAACTTTGATGTCACCTGTGTTTAGCACAAGTAGCAAACACTGAACGCGACAAGTATTGCGAGGTGTTCAGAAAGGTCAGAGCTTAGAATCACCCAAATGAACACAACTAGACTGTATAAGTCAAGCTATTCAGTGGGTAAAGGTTAAGCTAAGGATATACAAGTAACTTGGGTGACATAACGACATGTGAATGAGTAATAGGGGGCATTACAATCAGCAAGCCTATCTTTTCGCTGGAGAAAACAATACATTTGGAGCATCTCTGGAGCATCTCTGGAGCAAGGATACTGGAAGTGTACAACAGGAGGCGATTCAGTATGAGTCTATATGACCTAGAACCTTACTTTGACAAGCACAAGTAATGATATGCAATGATACATCATTGCAGCTCCTCATCTATCATGTTCATGATCTAGAACAACAACAATAAAAGCATGGATTTCCTGGTCTTTGGTCCTGAATCTCCTTCCTACAACTGTCCGACACCATTTATCAAATCATGAATAGCACTGTAGAGCCAATTGCCTTGGCACTTCTCCCACCAGACATTGCTCGCAAACTTCAGGTTACAAGCTATATCTTTTGCGGGACATCAGCTGCAAGTAATACTCACTAATTGGAGCTCTTCATGCCTGCCAACTCTTTACTATAAACAGATATTTATTTGGGATGCAATTTGGAATCTGCATGCTGATTATAAACTTTTGTTCAAGACCAAGATTGGATTGCCTACCTTGGTTTATTTTATTTCA